TTATATGACATTTAGTTATGTTTTCCAGTAAATAATCATTTGCAGGTTATGAATTTTGGTGTTTCCTGAATAGAATAGTAAAATTCCACCACTCTTGTCACTTCTCCTTTCATTGAAAGCAGGCTGAATGAGCTGTTGCTGAATGTGCTGCTTTATGTTCGCTCCTCTAGTCTTCACTTACAGGGGTGTTCTGGGACAGCTTGGGAACGGCTATGTGCAGTTTTTTGTATTTATGTACTTTAAACAGAAAATGAAAAATTAGGGAAGGCATCCTGAATGTGAACAGCTTGCAACAAAGGAAGTAATGGATGCTTTGCTTTGCACATTTGGAGTTGGTTCCAGGTAGATGGTGTTTTCTTCCAAGTCTTTGAAACAAGAGTGAACTTGGAGGTAGGGGAGAGCAGAAGGAAGGAAGCTAACTCCTACGTTTTATTTCGTAATGCTGGTAATTGTGAACATACGAGTTTTGGTTTATCTGGAATATGGAGCTATGATTTATTGATTCCTAATCACATCATCAAGTTCCTGAAACTGTTTCTTCTGTACTGCTGTGAGCTTTAGCTTTGTAAGTCCGTAAAGAAAATGCTTCAGTATTGATATTTTCCAAACTAGACCCATGGTTTTACAGCCTAGACTGAACATAACTCAGTTAATATGAGTAAGTCTGACTTTATAACCGAAGTTCTGCCTCACTGAGGGAAGATGTGTGGTGTGCCCTTGTGGCCAAGAAGGCCAATGGCATCCTGGGTTGTATTAGAAGGGGGGTGGTTAGTAGGTCGAGAGAGGTCCTCCTTCCCCTCTACTCTGCCCTGGTGAGACCTCATCTGGAATATTGTGTCCAGTTCTGGGCCCCTCAGTTTAAGAAGGACAGGGACCTGCTGGAGAGAGTCCAGCGCAGGGCAACTAAGATGATTAAGGGAGTGGAGCATCTCCCTTATGAGGAAAGACTGAGGGAGCTGGGTCTCTATAGTTTGGAGAAGAGGAGACTGAGGGGTGACCTTATTAGTGTATATAAATATATAAAGGGGGAGTGTCACGAGGATGGAGCCAGGCTCTTCTCAGTGGCAAACAATGAAAGGACAAGGGGAAATGGGTACAAATTGGAGCACAAGAGGTTCCACTTAAACCTGAGAAGAAACTTCTTCTCAGTGAGGGTGACAGAACACTGGAACAGGCTGCCCAGGGAGGTTGTGGAATCTCCTTCTTTGGAGACGTTCAAGACCCGCCTGGGCACGTTCCTGTGTAACCTTATCTAGGTGTTCCTGCTCTGGCAGGGGGATTGGACTAGATGATCTTTTGAGGTCCCTTCCAATCTCTAACATACTGTGATACTGTGATACTGTGTGTGGTCTAGTTCAAAACTTGATGGTTTTAAGACTGGTATTTTTTCAGTCTGTACATACAGCATTTGGACCGTGTAGTGTCCCAAGTGCACTGTGTGCAGGTCATGGAAATCTGTTGGTGGAAAATCTCTGTGGGCTTGCTTTAGCTCTCATCAGCTGCAGAAGATTACAAAGAAGTTTGTGCTGCACACAGCGATTTGACATTCAGGTTTCAGTGGTGTGAATAAGCCCTCTGATAGCAGTTGATTTATGAGCATTTTGCAGATTCAGTGATGATACACGAGTCAGTGCATTTTTAAACTGAGCCAAAGCTTTGGGAAGGGGCAGAGCATGGGATCCTTCATGAAGCTTCCTTATGAAGTGCTCCAGTTCCAGCACAAAGCAGTTGTGGAAAGACTTAAACTATCGAAAAGATGCAAAGTGGCTGCATGTGCTGATCTGACAGAGAACTGACACTTGTGTGGAGATGAGGGAGTCTAGTTTTTGTAAAAGGACGATGTGCAGTTGTTTGCATTTGGAAACTTGTGAAATATATTTAGTGTCAAATTTTTGTTTATTTTCTTGAAACAGGGAGAAGATGCTGGTGTGGGTGAGGTACATTGCTCTTTTCTATTCAGTAGAAGGCTTGCCTCAGCCTTACATGTCTGGCTTCCTTCTGTGGTTTCCCTCCATAGCCTGGCTCTATGACAGACTATCTGACCTCTCTCCATTTCTCCTCCTCCTCTCAGAAAACTGTTCTTAGCTGACGTGGCGATACCCTAACCTGGGTCCCTTGGCTTAAGTATCCTGAAGTGAAGCAAAGACACAAACTCTGTTCTATCCAAACTATTTCTCACGGATAAATTTTCTCCCCCAGCATGGTTAATGCAGTTTGTCAAACCAGTTCCTGAAGTTGAAGATATTTTCTGCATTATTGTTACTGGAATGCTAATTTTCCTTAAAAATCAACTTATCCCTGAATGCCTGAATCCTGCCCCCCAAACCAAACCTGAAAACCCATAAGCCCAACTGCTGAAAAGTAGCTTCTGAATAAACCTTAATATTGTCTGTCAGAGGCCCAGTAGGTATGAAGGTGCTGTATGGAGCGTGCCAGGCTTGGTTTCAGTAATGTAGAAGTAACACAGCCTGTGCTGGGAATTAAGCAAATCAGTGGCCTGGCGTATTTTTTGCTAGCTCAGGGCCAAGTGCATAGTTTCCACTGGATTTATGCTGTTGATTGTCAGGGTAAGGTAGTTTCAAGTCTTAACATGGTATTCCTACAAAAGGAAGCGGTCAAACATGTTGCTTCATTTGCTGTCAAGTCAGGATACAGACTACTGAACAAGGCTGTTTTATGCCATTATTCTTTCCCTGAATATCGTCTTAAGTTCTTGTGAAAACCTGAAGTCTCAGGCCTGAGAATATATTAAGTATATCTTTCATAGCTTCTTTTAATACCTTTAAGGCCCTCCTGCAGTTCTTGCTTTCATGGCGTTTTCTTTTTTATCTGTAGCGTATTTTTACATGGTGAGATTTAAACAAGATCTAGCAAATGCAAGGGTTTGAAGACAAGAATAGTTAGCTGACAACTGGGAGCTGTTGGTCTAACTGACCATCCCTCTCTATTAAGAGCGTGCCGAGGAATATCTGACTTTGCATGTCCCAAAACATCCCTTTGTGGAGCATCTATGAGAATTAGTCCAGGTTACTTCATTATATCAATGTAAGGGACAAATCTTTCAGGCTTTGTTTGAACTGGAGTACACTGCTGTGGAAAAAGGAGATGGCAAGGAAATGTGAAAGAGTAGCATACACTGGTTTTAGTTTATTCTGGTACTGTGTGTTCTTTCAAAAAGATGTTCTGTGTCATAGCACTTTCTCTCTAACTGTGAAATCCACCTTTCTCATTAACATAAGTAAATGAAGTGTGGCCATCTTTTCCCTACCAGAGACCTCCTGAAGTGGGGGTATATATTTGAGGGTATAAGCGTATATCGTGCTGCTGTCACTAAGTTTTCTTTGGGTTGTTTGTTGGTTGTTGGTTTTTTTATGATGACCTTCCTGAAGTTTCAAAGTCCCTCCAGTCTTGACTGGTTAGAGAGAAACATGGCAAGACAGAGCAAGTTGAAGTGCTGGTGACCAAGTGATGGCATTCCTTTCTTGTGGAAAGCAGATCTTGGTCTTGCTGTACTGCAGTGCTGATGATGGGGACTGTGGGTCATTCTGAAGATGGGTTTAATGAGCAGATCAGTAAAAAGCATCCATAAAGAGAGAAATCTAAGTAATTGTACTTGCTTTGGGGAAAGCACTGACACTTCAAACACCACTCCACAAAGATCTGTATCCCAGCCTCACAGAAAAACTCAAACCCGTATGTATCTCAGGGCACAGTTGGAAGATTATTTGAAGTGTGTTAAGAGCCAGACATGAGGTCAGTTTCTTTTGGATGGATCTGAATGAGTTTCAGTAGCAAACTCAATGCAGCCGTATGCAAAGGTGGGCTTGTCTTGGTTTTACAGATCCTTAAATCCTCTTTAACCAAGAAAAGCTGAGAAAAAAAATCCTGGCATCTCTTCCTTGTATTCATTTGATAGTACAGAGCAAGTATTGCCTTACTGCGCTTTGTCCTTCATCATAAAATGCCTCTTCTGTCTCTGGTTAGGTGTTTTCTTAACTACAGAAACGTGGATATGCAGCTGTTTGACTGCACAGCCTGAAAGACCAAAGTGCTGACCCAGTGTCCTTCCTCACTTCTTGCTGAGCCCCTAGCCCTGGAACATGGGTTGGGTTGAGAGTCTGGCTTAAGGGTGTTAAAAACAGGGCGGGAGGAAAGCTAGTGATTACATCAAACACTTCAGAAATGGGAGATGAAAAGTCACAAAATGCTATGGAAAGAATGCATTTTATGGAATGCGGTTTGCCTGCTTTTATAAATTGCAATGGAAGTTTATTGCATAATGCATCAGATTTTAAAGGATTTTCAGAAAAAATGAACTGAGATCTTTCTGTGTCAGGCACTCCAGGAGTCAAGGAGGCAGGTGGTTTTGTAGTTATCAGAGTTTCTAGCTGGAGTTACAGTTGCTCACTGTCAAGTTTCTGGTGTCTCAGAGCATGGAGAGCTGGAGTGGTGAGGAATGCTGTCACTTTGAATGAGCAGTGCCAGTACAGAGTGTGCAAAAAGTGTTTTTCCAGCTGAGAGCTGTCTTCCTGCAGCATTCCACCTTTGCCATCCCTCAAATTCCCATTCTGCAGGTGGCAGTTAGCTGTATGATGCAGCAGATTGTTACTATACTCACGTTAGAGTAGCTCCTTCAGGCACAGTGCCACTCTGCTGTCACAGCTGTTTGTAGGAGGAAAGAGACTGTCACTCTCCCAGTACTTTGCAGTGTTAACTGGCAAAAGGGCCATGGAAACGGAGCAGCTCAGTCTCCAGCTTCTTAAGGCCGTTCAGAACTTCCAGTGTTACTTGAAAAAAGTGACTGAGTTCAGATACACTTTTTGAGAAACTATCTTTTGCTTTAACAACAACAACAATAATAAAGTCACTAACGGGAGGGAAGGCAGGAGGAGCAGTGCAAACAAATACAAGAGTTCAAGTAAACAAGTTGCTTTCAGGTTTCTGTAGCTGTCCATCAACAGTCAAGGTAATTTTTCTTCTCTTTTTTTAATCTCTTGCAGGAAGTCCAAGGGAAAGCCAAACGGTAAAAAACCAGCACCAGAAGAGAAGAAACTTTACCTAGAGCCAGAATACACAAAATCCAGAATTACTGACTTTGAATTTAAGGAGCTAGTGATGTTACCACGAGAAATAGATCTCAACGAGTGGCTAGCCAGCAACAGTGAGTATTGTGATCATACAGCTCTGAGCTTACTGTCCACACCCAAGCAGGCAGTCATTCACTCTGCTCCTTTTTACTGTTTTTGGTGCTTAGAAAAACACTCAATGACTATTTATGCTTACTGGATAATGCCTGTCATTATACCTTGAATAGTAATTAAGCTGTCTTCCGTACAAACCAACTGTGCTCAGCAGCACGGAAGCCCTGATGTGTTTTCTCCTTCCAGCTGCCTCACTGTGGTGCTGAGGGCATAGAGTTTTTGACCATGTTTTGAGGACTGTCAGATTCCCTTTGACTATTTGCTAAAATGGCTGGTTCCGCATGTTTCTGACTCAAGCTATTGGTCTTCCAGAAACACTCTAAAAATGCTAGTTTATTAAGACTTGCATGCAAAGCAAGTTATGCCTAAAGCCAGAAGTTTCGAACCCTTTTGGTTGTATTTCTTTTCCCCACACCTCCCAAGCTTTGGTAGAATTAGCATGAATTCAAACTGTCATCAAGCTGGAACTCAGACATGACTGACTACTGTGACTGAATGCTGTATTTGTGCATCCCTGTTCTGATTTACAGTACTTCTCTGTGCTTCTGCTTCACCTGCCAGGCCTAACCTGCAGCTGTGACACACTCTTGTCCACATTTCCAACAGTATGTGGCAGTAGCAAGAAACTACCTTTAACTGCACACTAGGAAAGTTCATAGAAACTCATTAAAAAAAAAATCCAGGTGTCTCCTGAAGAGTATTAAGGTGTTAAATCATCTCAGAATTTTGAACAGTTGAAATGTACTAGTTTTCCTGCTGTTTTTTAAAAAAGAGGTATGTCATGAGAACTATGAATGCTCTTTTCTGGTCACTGCACATTTTAAATCTTACTTCAAAAGAATATAGCAAATTGTTTGCTTTCAGCTTGTAGTAGTGTGCTACTGTGAAGGTGAGGCTGATGACGAAGACACTTTCCAGTCTTGCTGCTTAATGAGTAATAAGAGCCAATGCATCATGGTGCTTTAATCTTAAACGAAAACAAGAGCTTTCTTTCTGTGCAGCTCTTTGTTCATCATTAGACTTATTTAGCCAAATCATGTTTAAATTTATATGCAAGCTCAAAACTCTAACGTCACTTCACTTTGCTTTATTTAAATAATTGTCCAGCATTTGAAAGTATTTTAGTTCTGAATTTCTTTCCTTTGTGTTTTATTTTTCAGCAACAACTTTCTTTCATCACATCAACTTACAGTATAGTACAATCTCAGAATTCTGTACAGGAGAGTCATGTCAGACCATGGCCGTGTGCAATACGTAAGTCAATGCTTACAGTTACAAGGTTTCTGTGAAATCTTCAGAGTCACATGGGGGAGGATGTTGGTGCTGGATGGCATTGGGCAAGTGTTCTACAGCAGATCTGTACTTAGTTGAGAACATGGCAGCTGTACATCCTCTTCTCTTGCCTCAGTAAGGAAGGGTGGTGGAAGTCTGTTTCTGTGGGGGACCAGAGGGATGAGAACCTTGGACTGTTCTGAGCTGGTTTTATAAGGTCAGATCAGAGAGGCAAATTACCCTATGCTTAGCTTTTGGGGAGAGGAGAAGAGCAGGGCAAAACTGTCCTTACTGGTAACAGTGTGGGATTTCATAGAAGGCCAGGGAGGATAAACAAATTGCAAAAACCTCAGAGGGTGCTTTTGATAGCTGGAATGCTGACAGAGCACCAGGCTGCTGACAGATAACCTCTAGCCTGATGTGATCTGCTGGCTTTCTGCCTGAGCCCCTGGGCACAGAGGACGCAAGTGGCAGCTTTGCAAAGAGTAAGGAAAACGTTTTGGTTTGGCACTTCCCTCCTGTAGGACTTAGGAGACTTTTTTAACGTTGACTATCACTTATGAAAGGAAGCTTTGTAGTTTTAATGTACATGGTGAATAGAAGAAAAAGCTACCATAAACCCCTGCTCTTGATTAGCACAGTCCAACATGATGGAATATGAGATCTAGATGAGTATGAATAAGCTTGTTGTGTCGTGTTGGGGTTTTTTCTCCAGCACGTGTGCTGATAGTCCTTTTCTTCCCTCCTCCTGCATTTCTTAGGATTAATTTATTTGAGATGGATTTTTAAAGGAGAAGACTGAGCAGTTAATCTTACAGTACATCAAACATCCCAGGGAACGTATGCAACAGAACCAGAGCTCTATATTGGATCTGACAATAATTACATAGTGCTTAGAAAGGAATCTTTGCTTAATATACTGGGCTATCTTGCACACTTGAAATTACTATCAGGGGCTTTCTCTGACAGCACTGAAGTGTACAGAGGATATCTTTGCATGTAGAAGTTGGAAAGATAACTGCCAGTAGACAATTAAAGGCCATGGTAGGGACTTTGAAAGCAGGCTGGAACACAGAGTAATAAATCTCTGCTGGACCAGATTTTATCAAAAGAAGACAGCATGTCTCTAAATGAGAAATGGTCATCAGTAAGATGAGCATTTTGTTGACTCTTGCTCCCAAGTTTTCTCATGTTTAAATTCCTGATGTAGCACTGGCTGTCCAAAGGACTGAGATTAACTGTTTATCCACTTGGCTGATAGGAAATACTGGCTAAAAGAGGTGTTGGTAGGGAACCTGAATAAGTGTCTCTCCATTCTGCTCTAAGGAGTCTTAAAGAATTTTGAGTTCTTTGTAGGCAGTTCAGGCTGCACAATGAAGAAAGGAAGTGCCTGTAGGCGGCTCCAGCTGTACTCTGTATTTTTAGTGGTTAAGACCGATAGCACAGTGTTCTTATCCTTTGTTTTGGAAAACTGAAAAATTGTGCTATTTGGGAATAACAGGAAGCATGTCTGCACTTGAAATGGTTTGTGTTTAGCTAAATCGTAACTTAAGTAAAGTATCTTCCTGTACTTGGGAGCAGATGACTGATTCATGTTTGCAAACTGCAGGCTGCATATTTCATTCTTATATCAAGTGGGTGGGTCTGTGAAAAAAACATGTTGGTGAGATCATCTGGCTACAGCTGCATACCTCAGTGCAGTTCAGCTTTGAAGGCCCTGTTCGTAACTGTGTTCTCCAAATGACAATTCTGGATAATCCTTACGTTCCACCTTTCCTAGCTCTTCCCTTTTGGAAGAGATATGTCCAAATGGAGCATTGAGAATTGTCTCAAAGATGCTCATTTGTTCATATCCAATTACGACTATGACAAAGCTGTATGTTGCTTCCCCGCCCCCTTCCTTTTTGTTTTACTCTTTTTTTCTCCACCCCTACCCCCCCCCCCCTTATTTTTTTAATCTTGCCCTAATGAAGTAAGGACGTGCTCACTGTGTTGGAGAAACATCCATTGATATGATTTATTGTGCCCCTGACCTGTCTCTAGTATACAGAGTGTACCTCCTAAACATTAGAGTCAGGTGCTGATTAACCTGATGGACACTCCAGATTTGACCTGTGGTCGCTGTGATTCGTACAGCATCTACGTACATTAGACTGTCACAGAATTATAGTATCTTGGAATAAGGGTGCACTTCAGCATTTTTTTTCAGTGCTGATTTCTCTAGGTAGCTCTGTATGAAAGTCAGCATTCTGTTCGTTTTTTATGTTTCCCTGCCCAGTTCTCTTAAGGCACACTATTCTGGTTGTACCTAAGGAAGGCTTTTCATATTTATGGTTGAGATATTGAAGTGACTATTGAGAACAGGTTACTTGTCAAGTTACTTTATATTCAAAGGCACCTCAAATACTCAAGTTTACAGTATTTGCTGACAAAATAAATACCAGTTGCAGTTAAATATTTGAGGTGAGGTTTTAACATCTCATCACAGTTCCAGCCAACTGACAAGCTGAAGACAGATGCAGCTTTTAGCCCCCGTCAGCTGTATGAGATAGCATAGCCATCTGCCCACAATGAGGAGGAGAATTTCTGCTTAGACCACTAAGAGACATCTGACCAAAATCTAGTCACCTTGTAGAACAGATGGGAGCATTTGCCGGCAAGGTGGGATAATGCCAAAAGAAATTCCAGAATGGCCACTTATTTTCAAAGTTTAATGAGGATAGCATGAATGTAACTTTGGGAGTTACTTTATTTCACTCATTACTATGCTGATGACTTGCTATAAAACAGGCACTGTGTTTTAACACAGTATTTACTATTTAAATTTAGTATGCCTTGTAGCTTATTATTACGCAAACTAAAGCACCTTGGGCTGTCAACTGATTTTGTAGGTGACATCTGGGCAAAACTTCTCAACGTGCTGAAATGAGTGGAGTAGTTAAGAGCCTCTGTAATCTTACCATTTCCTTTCTCATATCTACCTTGCCCTTAGTGTCTCTGCATATGGAAGATGTTTCCTTCTAGAAATCATAGCTCAAACTTGCATGTTTCGTGTTTTCTTATATTTAAGTTCCCTGAGCTGTGTGCTTCTTTGTGTCTTCCCTCACCCCATCTAAACGTTGCTTTGCTCCATCAAACCACCAAAGGTATTCTGGGTTGCTGACACTGTATTACTGCCCTTGCATTTGGTAGTTTGCTATCCTGCTTTCTTCATAACCCATCTTCCGCTATTTCTAGGCCTGTCTCTTTCTTCTTTCCACACAGCATCTGCCAGAAGTTTTTCTTATACACTGATGTAACGTTTGTTCTGCCTTGGCTTCTGTGTCATCAACACAAACCCAGAGTGTTTTACAGGCAAAGTGATAAAATACATACGTATATTAAGATGCAGTATTGTGACATCACGTGTACTATATTATTTGCATGATAGGCTTTTCTCCGTTAAACTCATAGTCCTTTCTCCCTGTGATTTAGAGTGGAGCTGCAAATTCCTCTTGCTGTCCATACTGGCAAACTTTAAGTCTGCCAGAATTTTACACGGGAAATAATCAAAATCTGTATCACCTGAGCACTTTCTGAAAAGTGCTTTTGTCTCATCTTGTCCTTTCTGCTTCCCATTCGTTGCCTAATTCAGGACTGTACTGTCACGGTGCCAGTGGTGGAATGCAGTTAGCCTGCTGTGCCCGACAGAGCCCTTCAGTGGCCTCAACCTGCTTCCTGTCTAGTTAAAGGAGATAACTCCAGCATGGGTGGGAGCTGAGCACCAGGTGTGAGATGCTCATGGCATGTCAGCGGTTCCTCTCTTCCTCCAAGACCTGTGAGGACTCTGTTCACAGAACTTGAAACATAAGGAAGACGCATGACTCTAATATACAGGACAATCCTTGCAGTTATCCCCTTACTTTAAATGATTCTACTTTTAAATTCCTATTCCGCTTAATTAGCCTAATTTTCAAGGAAAGACAAAAAGGGTATGCAGTGGGATGTTACAGAAAATTTATTCACTTAGGTTTTCATGTAAGTGAACTTGTACAGTTGCCGAACTGTTTCTTTTAACCAAAATCCAATTATCCAGATTCATTTTTGTGCCTAAGGGCAACTTTAAACTAGGCTTTCTATGTTGCAGTTGAGGATTTCTGCAGCATGAGAAAACTGCTGTGGTACAGACAGTCCAGTCTGCCTCTGCTCTTGGCAACAAGCACTGTCTAAGACCCAAAACAAGTCTGAGCTGCCTAGAACTGTCTTACTCCAGCTTACTGCAGGACTAGACAAATGAGGTGGCTTGGGCTAGAGCACTGCATTGTATAATTCCTTATATGTGGATTGTATAAAGGAAGTAAGCAGCGATGAAGAACACAGTCAGTGCCTAAGGGTCAAATTCCTCGTTTTGATGCCTGATGTAGCTCCACAAAGAGCTTTTAACTCCTGCTGGTTTTGTCTACTTGCTCACCTTTTTTTGCAGTCAGCCGTGCTCTCTAGTAAACAACAGTGACCAAGTGCCACATGCTGAAAATGAGCTGAAAGACAAATTCTGAACCTCACATGTCTGCAGAACTGGTTTTTAGTTGCCTTTCCTCTCTTAGAGCTTGAACCACTCTATTTCTGCAGCTTCCTATTGGCTTCCCTATGGCTTGGGGCATGAACAGCATTGTTGTCTTCACCCCACTGCTCCCAGGTCGCTGAAGAACCTTTCAGTGAGTGAAAACACAATGTAAATCAAAACTTTACAGTCGCTATGTAACACTTTTTTTTAGTGGCTTCAAGACACTTCTGGTGGCCAGTATACCTAAAACTTCACTTTCCAAGTGACATGTGTACATCTATCCAGCTCAGTGCAGTCTAGCCCTGCTAGGCACATGAAAAACAATCTGCAGTCTTTTACCTTCCACCCCACCACCCCTTACCATGCCCACAAAACCCAAAAGTATGCAAAGGTTGCTAAATGTTACACTTAAGTGATATTTTGTCTACAGTGAGGCTTGTTCAGTGATTTGGTGAGGAATTTCAGGTAACAGATCGCTAGCTGAAGAGCAGCAGAGTTGCAGCTGGACAGGCAGAAAATGGCTTTATGGGCTCCTGTGTTGAGTGAAGTGTCTTTCTAGCCAGTTCTGATGCTCGAACCACTTTCAACCTTGTTTCCAAAGACAGAAAAAAACCCACCTATGCTTCATTCTAGGAAAACCAATACAATGGATTTCTTGCCAGTGCTGTAATACTATAGGACTGTGCCTGGAGCTTAGGCTGTTTGAAGGAAGAATTCAGGAAGTGGAACTCAAGACACTTCAAATGTGACACAGGAAAAAGTTTTGCCAAATTCCTTATCTGTGGAACGTTTCTCACTGTGTGCCTAATGCAGTGATGGATAGGTGCTCCTGCTAACAGTTAGAGGTGCTTTCATTAACCATGGCTTAAAGAGAAAAAAGGAACAAGCCTTCAGTGCTTTTGTAGCCTTCAGGTTCTCCATGAGGTGAGGAATCGCCACAGTTAATCAGATGATTATGGCTGATTAAATTATGGTTGCATTTGAAGAGCCAGGCAATATGCTAATGTCTCCTGTTCCTTAAGATCCAACAGGATTATTTACCGGTGAGAGACTCCAACATTAATTCAGGTGTTTTGGAGAGTCTTTAACCAGAGGAGCAGAGTTCTAAGACATGCTGGTAGGAACGTTTAAAGGGTCCTGAAAACCTTCCCCAGATTGGATTTTGGAATGGGATTTGTAGTGCTTTGAAGTGCTGCCAGTACTTCACCAGCTCAAAAAAGCTGGTGTTTTGGAGCCACCTTCTGTCTGTTTACTACTACTACAAGACCAATTTATCTTCTGCACTGTTAAGCATCAAAAGATCAGCAATTGTGCAATTTTGCTACCCTTTAAAAATAGTTAGATAATGCTCTACTGTATAGTACTACATAGACAGTACGTAAACCCTCAGCCTGTCACTGACAGGGTGTTACCTCTGCCTCACAAGAGCTCTTTTTCTTGGAGAATGGTCAACAGGCATTCTGCGCTTAGCAGTGCTACTGGCATGCTGGACTAAACTGATCAGGAGAAACAAGATTAGCTAACAGAAATTGAAGAGGTTTAATGTACAAAGATACCATGAAGTGAATCTCTTCTGTATCAGTTATGATGTATTTTGGTAATGTTGCACCTGTTGTTTTATATTCAACACTAACCTCTTAAAGGAGTTTTGCTGAGAAGCCGAGGTATAATGTGGTGACACTGTCAATTCTCTCCACAGACAGTACTACTGGTATGATGAGCGGGGAAAGAAGATCAAGTGCACTGCTCCTCAGTATGTTGACTTCGTCATGAGCTCAGTGCAGAAACTAGTGACAGATGAGGATGTCTTTCCAACAAAATACGGTATGTCTGCTTTTGAGTAAGGTGCTAAGTAAGGTGGAAGTTGCATTCAGCATATGTATTAATACCACACAGCCTTCTCATTTGTTTGTTTGATATTTTGGGGATTGCTTTTTCCTCAAGGATTTTGGGATCTTCTAGCCTGTATTCAGAAAGGATAAAAGTTTGAAAACTGTCAGCATGAATGTGTTCAATACAGCCTGCTGATAGTAAAATTTAATCTTCTTGTTGATTTGCTATTTCCTTTATAGCCCCAACGCATTAAGGGGGAAATTGGATTGCCAGGAATGTGGCTTGTCTTCCTTGCCCAACCAGGCTTGTCTTACAGATGTTTGCAGGCTCCCTCCCTCCCAAAGATTTAATGTGATTTTTAAGAACAGAAAAGCAGTAAGAAAGTAATTTTAACTCTCACTTGCATCCTAACAAGATTGCTATGTGCACTACCTTTGGTAGGGGGAGAAGAGGGGAAGAAAACAGAGACCTGAAGTTACTGTAGGTGGGCTTAATCAAGATTAAAACCAGCACTTCAATTGGGGAACTGGGATGTTACAATATAGCAGACATTAAGCCTTTGCTTACAAGTACCTTCATCTGGAGAGAGGCAGTGTCTAATGAGAGTGCCTAGTAGGACAGCTGCAGTTGACTTGTTTTTTTAGTATGCTTGTTCAAGGGCAGTGAGGGTGTTTCAAGAGATTTCTCCGTGTGGCCAAGGTGCACTTCAGACCAGTAACATAATTCATATTGTGCATCACACACAGGACTATAGGCATTGTTTTTTGCTTGCCTCAGTTTCACTTTTAGTGTTACCAAAGTAGTTGTCCAATAATTGTCTTTTACTATGCAGGCACAGGACTGCTCCAGCAGCACGGTGTCAGCTATGCCTCATAGGAGGCACCCAGCATTTCCTTCTATTTCTTTTCCCATTTGATAGAATGTCAACAGTGAAATGAGGGAAGTCATTATAAACACTTAGTCAAGCTGCTACACACTACAAAGGCCTGTACCTTAGCTTCCATTTCAGGATTTGTGTATTGGTCTCCTGAGTATTATGGACTTACAGGGGAAAAATCTGCTGGACAATCTAGAAAAGGACCTCCTTATCTAGGTCCTTATCTAAAAAAAAATCTACTCCTGGACAAACTAGATAAGGACTCAGAAAAATTTCTCATTTTTGTTACAGTCAGTAGCAAAAGACGTTGGGGTTCTAAAGAATGATCACACTTACTTTCTGATTTTTGAACGCTTAGGGTTTGAAACATCAAATGAAAATGTTTAAAGAATCTATTTAGATTCTTCCCCATAATTCCTGTAAAAAAGTGAGGATGATACAGGGTGCACAAGTTGTCTTCTGTATAAGGTGGGCTCTTACCCACAGCTCAGCCCAAACAAATGCTGCTGTGAGTCTGAAGGTGAGCAGCTAACACTATATATCATGGTGTTTTCTCTGTCTTTGTTTCAGGCAAGGAATTCCCAAACTCATTTGAGTCCCTAGTGAAGAAGATCTGCAAGTATCTGTTCCATGTGCTGGCCCATATCTACTCCTCACACTTTAAGGAGACTTTGGCACTGGAGCTGCACGGACATTTAAACACACTCTACACACACTTTATCCTATTCATCAGGGAGTTCAACCTCGTGGACCCTAAAGAGACCACCATCATGGATGACCTCACAGAGGTCCTCTGCAGCAGCAGTGGGAGCAGCAGTAATGGGAGTGGCAACGGGAGTAGCAACAGCGCAGGAGCACAGAACCATGTGAAAGAGAGATGAGCCTTCTTCCAGGAGCAAAACTAACATTAAAAACAATATATATTCTGTGTGTATGTGTATGTATATGTTCAGATATACATACAGACATATACAGCAATGAAAGCTGAGAGAAATTCTGCTGCCGCCACAGGATGTGTAGTCACAGGACTGTACGGAGCTTTGGTTTAATGCGCCACTTGGCGAGAAGTTGCACCGATTTTATTTTATTTTCTGTCCACTCCTCCTTTTACCTGTTCAGATGGATGACGAGTGCTGTTTTTAAAGAAAAGCCAAGCTTGAGTGGGGCCACTCCTGGTTATTTTGGTTGTTGGTTTGGTTTGGGGTTGGTTGTTTTGATTTTGGTTGTTTTTTGTTTGGTTTTTTTTTTGTTGGTTGTTTTTTGCTTTTCTGTCTTTGGTCTTGCGTGCAAGCCCTTTGTCTTTCTAGGATGGTGGTCCTGCCATTTAAAAATATCTATTATAATATAAGAAGTGACTTTTACTTTGAAGTGGCTTAAAATGCAGGTTGGTTTGGATTTTGGGGGGAGGGGTGGTTTTTTGGTTTGATTTTACATAGACTGCCTCTTACCCTTCTAGGAACTCCCCAGTTGAGTGCATCTTGCCCTTTGTTAGCTTGGAATGGGAAGAAACCCCTGGCTTGACTAGAGTAGCAGCTAGGGGCTTGCTACACGTTGAAAGGGCATAATTCTCCAGTTGTCCCATATACCTGGTCACAGCATGTGAACATGCAAGAGGATTCACAAGCCTTTCCGCTTACTGCTCCTACAACGTATATACTCTTTTCTCTGCTCCCCCACCTCTTTTCCCAAGCACATCTCTACAGATAGAAAGAGTAAGATCACTGGAATTCCAAAACCCGTGTGCAAGAGCCACCACCATTTGCTTCCCACTGAACAGAGGCCCGGGGAGGGGGGAAAAAGGTACATTGAGTCAGTCACTGCCTGTGCTAGAAAGATGGCTGTTGGCATAAAATTATATTGTTGGCTTATTTTAGTTCATCTGTTCTATAATAATAAAAACAAATCTATCAGCCACAAGCTTGGTTTTATGTTTGCAGTGTCAAAAGTCCATGGAATTCACCCATACACCTTCCCTTTCACCACTGAACACTGGTGGCCCTGCTATCAACTAGGTTTATAACTAATAATTAGTGTTCCACCCTGTGATTCTACATTTTTAATCAATTCCTTGCTCTTCCTGGTAGTGCTAAGAACCTCCTCCCCGTATAATCTGAAAATAAGCACACCAAAGCAAAGCACCACTTGGGAAAGGAGCAACTGTCCTGCATGTACATCCTTAAATTTTGCAGAGGCAGTGGGCTCCTGGATATTTTGCAGCAAATAGCGTATTACAATTATCTGTGGATATAGTATTGTATCAGCATTGTATCAGGACAGTGATATTACTCTCCTTCACCTTTCCACTTAGGAAAATGCCAAATTTTGTTTACAGCTGTGCTTCTATCAAACCTGTGGCAACCTCTGAGAATTCTCAGTATCCTGAGGTACATACGTCATTAATGACTGACCTGGCATGAGTCCTAGAAGGTTCTCCTGAATGAGGTCTGCAACTACCAAAAGTCAGTAGAGAAAAAGGAAGGAGAACAAGTGCAAACAAAAAAAAAAAAAGAAGGAAAAGCACAGGCAAGAAGCAAAAGCTTGTGAAGCATATGAAAACAACAGATAAAGGAAGAAAAATCTGCAAGTGAGAAAAAGCAAAAAGTCATAAAGGTGAGAAGAGCAGAAACGCATGAGCACAGAAGAAGGGAAGTGGAAAAGTGAGTGAGAGAAAACAAACTAAAACTTCATGAGCCCAGGCTTGTCCTGTGTTGTTTGTTTCACGATTGCAGGTACCTTGTAAACCTGCAGGAAGATGTGCTGGAGTCTCACTATCCTGCTCATCTGGGAGCTGTTAACCGCAGTCTGTTTAAAAGCACTCCTTCCCATCATGTCCTCCTGCTATGGCATCTGTATCCAGATTAATATTCCCATTCAGTCTCTATTCATGCTGGTATGAGCCTTTCCATTACAATTCCTTATGCTAATATCTGAAGGGAAAACCAGAGGTCAGCAGAAGCTATCAGACAAATGGCATTTGTAAGAAAGACCCCGGGGCTACTTGCAATTAGAGCATACGGTAGCGTTCATGGTAATAAAGTAATAGGAAGAACAACCACCCCAGACAAGGATTTCTGGTAATTTATTACCTACTTGTAACAAAAAAAAAACCCAACCAAAAATTTGCAGTCTTAATTTTAAATAACATCTAGAAATGAGACACAGTTTGGAAAGATTTGACTTGAGCGGGGTCAGCTCAACTGTTGCTGGAAAGAGTGACTTACTGTTGTGGTTTAAAACCAGTCAGGCAGCTCGTTCACTCACTCCCCCCCTTTCTTGCCCTCCCCTTACTCCCGGAGGGACGGAGAGGAGAATCAAAAAGAATACAACTCCCACGGGTTGAGATAAGAACAGTTTAGTAACTAAGGTATAACACAAATCACTACTGCTGCTACCGCCATAATAATAACGATAAAGGAAATAACAAGGGAAGAGAATACAATACCCCATCACCAACCGACTGATACCTCAGCCCCCCCCAGCCCGACCAAGCACCGACCGATACCTCCTCCAACCCTCCAGTCCTCGCCCTTCAGGGTAACTCCCAGTTACATCCTGGGCATGACGTGCTGTGGTATGGAAATACCTGTTTGGTCAGTTTGGGTCAGGTGTCCTGTCTCTGCTTCCTCCCAGGTTCCCCTCCTCCCTGGCAGAGCATGAGGCTCACCAAGTCCTTGGCCAGACCAAACATTTAACCAGTAACTAAAAACATCGGTGCTGTCAGCACCGTTCCCAGGCCAAAAGTCAAACCACAGCGCTGCACCAGCTACTAAGGAGAAAAAATGACTGCTACTGCTAAACCCAGGACACTTACTTAACTGTAACTCTCTAAGTTTCAGATAATAACAAATGCAAGGGTACTTATACCTTAGCTTCCCCTAGTAGAACTGCTAGAACCTTCTAAGAAGTCTGGGAACATATGGGTTGGTGCAAAGCAGCACCAGGAGAACAGTGAAGAACCTGAGCGTGCCCAAGTCCATGGGACCTGATGAAATCCATCCATGGGTCCTGAAGGAGCTGGCGAATGAAGTTGCTAAGCCACTGGCCATCATATTTGAAAAATCATGGCAGTCAGGTGAACTTCCCAGCGACTGGAAAAAGGGAAATATAACCCCCGTTTTCAAGAAGGGGAAAATGGATGACCCAGGGAATTACAGACCAGTCAGTCTCACCTCTGTGCCTGGCAAAATCTTGGAGCAGATTCTCCTGGAAGGCATGCTAAGGCACATGAAAATCAACAAGGTGCTTGGTGACAGCCAGCATGGCTTCACTAAGGGCAAATCCTGCCTGACGAGTTTGGTGGCCTTCTATGATGGGGCTACAGAACTGATGGACAGGGGTAGAGCAGTTGATTTGTATAAAGTGTTCGACACTGTCCCACACGACTTTCTTGTCTCTAAATTGGAGAGACATCAATTTGATGGATGGACCACTCGGTGGATAAAGAACTGGCTGGATGGCCGCACACAAAGAGTTGTGGTCAATGGCTCAATGTCCGGCTGGAGACCAGTAACGAGTGGTGTCCCTCAGGGATTGGTGTTGGGACCGGTCTTGTTCAACATCTTTGTCGCTGACATGGACAGTGGGATTGAGTGCACCCTCAGCAAGTTTGCTGATGACACCAAGCTGTGTGGTTCGGTTGATAGGCTGGAGGGAAGGAATGCCATCCAGAGGGACCCTGACACGCTTGTGAGGTGGGCTGATGCCAACCTGACAAAGTTTAACCATGCCAAGTGCAAGGTCCTACAGCGGCGTCGGAGGAATCCCAGGCACAGATACAGGCTGGGCAGAGAAGAGATTCAGAGCAGCCCTGTGGAGAAGGACTTGGGGGTGCTGGTCGATGAGAAACTGAACAGGAGCCAGCAGTGTGCGCTTGCAGCCCAGAAAGCCAACCGTATCCTGGGCTGCATCAAAAGGAGCGTGACCAGCAGGTCGAAGGAGGTGATCCTGCCCCTCTACTCTGCTCTTGTGAGACCTCACTTGGGATATTGTGTGCAGTTCTGGTGTCCTCAGCATAAGAAGGACATGGAACTGTTGGAACAAGTCCAGAGGAGGGCCTCGAGGATGATCACAGGGCTGGAACACCTCCCATGTGAAGACAGGCTGAGAAAGTTGGGGCTGTTCAGCCTGGAGAAGGCTGCATGGAGACCTGATAGCAGCCTTCCAGTATCTAAAAGGGGCCTATAGGGATGCTGGGGGGAGACTTCATTAGGGACTCTAGTGATAGGACAAGGGGTAATGGGTTAAGTTTAGGGGAAGTTTAGGTTGGATATAGGGAGGAAGTTCCTTACTGTAAGGGTAGTGAGGCACTGGAATGGGTTGCCCAGGAAGTTGTGAATGCTCCATCGCTGGCAGCATTCAAGGCCCGGTTGGACAGAGCCTTGAGTGACATTGTTTAGCGTGAGGTGTCCTTGCCCACAGCAGGGGGGTTGGAACTTGATGATCTTAAGGTCCTTTCCAACCCTAACTATTCTATGATTCTATTCTATGATTCTATGAAATAAGTACCATATCACCTTTAGAAGAGCCTGCTGTTGTTTGTGGCAGCCGGCCCGAGTTTACTCTGCAGCCAGTTGATATCTGTCATGTAACTTGTCCAGCCAATCCTTAGCTCACCATTTCAGCTATTAACTGAAAGACTCAAATCCAGAAATACTGTTCCATTATCTAAACAGAGGACAGAGGAATAGGTTGTTCTTTTGTTCTGTTCAAACCTACTAAATAAATTAAAGCAATCTTCATGTCTGTAGCACAAATGGCAACACAAGACAGTTTAGTTCTAATGCTCAGATGCTGGTAGTAGTTATAGCAGAGTTCAGTATGGCTAAGTTATCCATGCCACTGTGGCAATACTAGTGCTTGAATATAAGCTCAGTAAGTGAAGGTTTAAAGTCAAATCTGGTATCTTTACATGGTATAGCTGTACTCAGTGTAGACAAATCCCAATATTCCCAATGGAACTGATGATAAAAAGTGAGAAAAATACCAACCAGCTGGCAAAACCCCTCAGTGTGCTGATGTGGTCTCCATTCTTTTTACAGACAGAAGAACTGTTCTGGTTGTGACAGCTGACATGAACAGTAAGACTTTTCAAAGCTCTTAGCATGTGACACAGAAAACAAAAACTGTTGTGGCCAAACACTCAGATGAGAGAACATTCAGAGAGCTTTGCTGAGCCAAAAAAAATATTAAAAAATTAAAAGGACTGCCCCACTCTATGTGTCATCTGTGAGTTCT